ACTTTGTGATATTCCATACTATCCCCAGTCCTGACTCTACACATCTTTGATCCTTAAGGACCCCACCCTTCCATGCTCATGGGAGAATCCACCCCCACTTCCCCACACTCACTGGAGGACTCCACGCTGTTCCAGGCTGTACTTGCCACCATCTCGCATGGCTGTATTGTGCACAGCCTCAATGGCCCGGTCAATGGCCTGGAGGACATCCTGTTCCAGGCCCTAAAAGTGGGTAGTGGTGATCAGTTAAACCTGGAGCTCAAGTGGGGATACTTAATCCAGACTTGGCCCAGGATGGAACCCAGGTGGAGGACCACTACAGCTGAAATCTAGAATGACAGACAAGAGCAGAGACCAAAACTGGACTATGGAATGAGGTTCTCAGACTGCACCACTCAGCGAACTGGGGTACCAGGTGACCCTAAACCAGCTTACATATTGAGGATCTTGGCTAAGATGCCTCAAAACCATGAACCTAAAGCAAAACCATAGCCCAGGAGTTCCCAGCTTGTGACCAGGAGTATATACACAGTCTATTCCTGGGCTTGGCTCAGAGCCCCAGACTGAGATGCCAAGCAGGAAACCTCCAGTGTCTGGAATCCTTAATAAGTCATTCTGATCTTGCTGACCCTTCACAAAACCAAGGTCACACCCCACAACAGCCTTATCCTCACACAGACCTTCACAGGCCCTGAGAGCAAAGAATAGACCAAAAGACCTCCTCTCCCCATCCCTGCTTATCAGTCCTCATCCTCCCAAGCTGTCCCAGTAATTTTTTGTACCTGCCCTGGGAAGCGGCTCTGTGTTTGTGGTAAAGGAAGGACATTTGAAATGAGCCTAGTCCCTGCTCTAGGCCCTGTGTTGTCATGCCTAACAACCCAGGAATCTGGTCTACCTCACTGCATGTTATAAGTGTGGTGTGGGATCAGCTATCCCCACCCCTTCCCTATCCCTAGACACATGGTGCATCAGGCTACATAGAAGCCACAGAGCTCCTCACAGTAGGTTTGGGAAACTTCTCTGATGGAGACAGATGGACGTAAAGGTCAGCAAAGCCCCTGAGGTGGTATGGGGCATACCAGGGAACAGGTATACAAGAGAAGGAAGGGGGAATAGGAAGAGAACACACTAACACACAGAAAGTAAGACAGACCTAGAGAGAGAGAGACTCAGAGGCAGGCAGAGGGAAATAAAGCAGGAAAACTGAGAGTCAGAAACAGACTGGGAGAATTGGAGAAAGAAAGGAAAACACCCAAATGGAGAGTCAGAATGAGACAGAGATGCACAGTCAGGGAAACTGAGACACAGGGAATATGCAGAAAGAAACTGAGAGACAGTGGCAGAGAAGATGGTTGCCTCTCTGCTCTCCCCAAACAACCAGCCCCACTGGTCCTGGCTCAGGCAGACGCTTTACAAGCCCTTGACCTATGCCCTGTGGGGAAGAGGCAGGACTTCCACAGAGGCCTCCAATGAGATCCCACCTCCAAAAGAGGCTGAGTCTGACACACTCCAGACCTAGTAGGGCTCCCTATTCTCACCACAAGCATAGCTAGATGGAATCAACCAACCCCATCTGTGAGAAAACCTCTAAGGCCCAAGACCCATCCTCTCTCGTAAGACCAGATGACATTTCCAAATTTATCCCATTATTTCTGTCTTGAACTGGGCTGGCACAATTTATTTCCTAAAGGCTAGGGACTAGGACAGGACAGGAGTGTCTGACACAGACTAGGTGTCTCAGCACCTTCCTTCCCACTGTGATCATAACATACCAGCCAGAGACACTACACCCTAGTCCCTGCAACAGGGCTACTCTTGAGGGAACAGGAACTGGGACTGCAGCCTACCTACACTGGAAGAAAATGGGGCATGGTCAGACCAGGGGAAGTCAGGAGAATTCATTTCCTTACAATGGGAACAGCCCCTATTCTTGGCTGGGGACAGGAGGGACAAGCTCCCTCAATTTCAGAGGAAGTCTAAGTCAGGGCCTGAAGCTTGTGAGGAGGCATTGCCAGGTAGTGTTAACAAGAGCTTGGTTCTTGGTTCAGAGAGTGTTCAGAAAGGGGGAGGGGTGTCTTGAAAAGAGTTTAGTGGGTGACTGAGTACAAGAAAGTGAAATACACTGAGATCCAAGGTTTGGGAGGTACCTAGGAGATGGGAGTGATCATGACTCCAGGTTTCAAATGGGAGGGGATTGAGGGCCTGGAGGATGGTTGGGGAACCATTGGTATTCTAAGGTGGCTCAGTCTCAGTAGTGAGGTGAAGAGGGTCTCAGTGGTAAAGGTAGGGGCTCCAATAGGTGGAGGAGGTGGGGGGTGGGGAAGGAAGAGTGCAGGAATTCTAGAGATCCAGGGGAGGGGTATATTAAGGGTGTGTGTGTGGGGGGGGGTCTCAGGAATTTGGTAATTGGATTGGAGTTTCTGAGTCTAGCTGTAGAATTCTACTCAGATGGAGGTCTCCATACTGGGGAATATGCAAGGGGAATTTGGGGTCCCAATGAGTATCAGTCCCAGAGTTAAGCTTTTAGTAGCTTAAGCTTTTGGTAAGTCTGGTCTAAGATGTCAAGGGTCTATCTAGTCTCTTGCAGGGATTGCTGACCCTAGAAGTCCCAGTCTTCATGGGTCTTAGGTCTCAGGGTCAGGTTCTCAAAACTGTCTCCTGAAGGATCTGGAGCCCCTGGGTCGGTTCTATCAGCCTGTGAAAGGGCCCAGTCTCAAAGGCCACTAAAGCGGGCAGGGGAGGGGCACTCACCTGCAGGCGATGCAGGTAGGCAGGCGGCACGTAGCCTGTCTCGCCACTGCGCGCCCGCGCCGCTAGCCACCAGTGCGCGCTGCTACGCTCCAGGACCAGGAAGGTCTCGCCCGCGGCGAACGCTAACGCGTTGGGCTCCGCCGAACGGAACGCGTACAGCGCACGGTACATGGGGCCGATTTGGGCCGCGCCGGTGCAAGGTACGCGGCGGGAACTGCTGAGCTAGGACACCAGGCCCGGCAGTGCCGCGCCGCGCTCGCCACGCCCCGTGACACTCAACGCGTGCGTGCGCGCGCGCGCCCGCCCTCCGCAGCCCCGCCCCGAGTGTCAACCCACGCAGTGGCGCGGGCGCCCCCTGTCGGCCCCAGAGACGCGGCGAGGAGGGGCTCAAGAGATTACTTTCTCTGCAGCGTTACCTCTTAGATTCAGGGCCGTTGATACATGGCCCCGGACTTGGCTTCCCTCACACGCCCTTGGACTCCCATTTTGCTCAAATCCCAACGCTGCGGCCCTTCCTATATCCTGATGAAGATGTGTTCGGCTCTTAGCCTGTGTGCCCTGACTGTCCGGGGTAAGTGGGTGGGTACTGACCTACTAACTGTAAAGATGGTAACTTGGACAAGGTGCTTTCATTATAGGTTTCAGGAAGTGTGAGGATGGAGCATATGAGAATAGAAACCACTTCGGACTATATCCCTGTTCAAAGTCCTCCCATCTTTGCTCTCCTTGCCCCATCACCCTGAGTAGTCAAGCTCCCGCCACTATCAATCGCTATCATCTTACTTTTTAATTTTATTTATAGGACTTAAACTCCCAGATTATCTTACTTCGGATGCCCCTTTCTGAGGGCAGACAGGAGAGCTGGAAGAAGGTGGGGAGTGGAATGCCATATAGCTGTAAAGAATGTTTGTCCCATCCAACAGTCAGCCCAAACCTCCTTAGTGAGTTCCTGAGAAGCCCAGGGAATATGCCCCAAAGGGTTCTGGGGATACACTCTCCACTGGGAGCAGGTGTGGACAAAAGGCTAGTGTATGCAGCTGACCTGTTTTTAGGTATGGTGGAGGTAGGCCTAGTGGGTCTTGGAGAGGAGGTGGCTGGAAAGTTCAGGTGAGGGACAGAGCTACTAGAACCTGACAACCAGACCCTGGCTTCTCTGCACTAGATCCGGCTCTGCAATTCCAGAAGCTCCCTCGGAGGGACCCTCCTCCTCCTCCCAGAGCCCCTGCAGGCCCAGAGGAGTAGTAGTTAGGGGCTGCACTTCACTGACTGAACTTTTTTTTTTTTTTTTTTGTGGTGCGGAGGATTGAACCCAGCACCTTGTGCATACAATGCAAACACTCTTCCAGCTGAGCTATATCCCCAGCCCTGCACTGCCTGAACTTTTGTGAGGGATGAGACTGGTTAATTGCGGTAGAGCCCAGGGCTGGGTAGAAGTAGTGACAGGTGGTGTGGGTAAGAGGATCAGCCTACCCATAACCCCTTTTATTGTGCCCTCCAACACCAGGCCCCTTTTTCACACAGCCTATGGCTGCCAGCGGACCACAGCCTAGTGTTACTTCAAACCCCAGTATTGGATACAGGACATCTGACATCACAGTCTTCAGCTTATTAGTTGCTGCCAGTGGACAGGAGGGAACAAGAGCTAAACCTAGGGGTGGGGATACTGGTAGAGTGCTTGCCTCACACGTACAAGGTCCTGGGTTCAATCCTCAGCACCATCAGAAAAAAAAAAAAAGCTAGACCTAAAGTTTGGAGCTTCTGCTGCCTAACTTTGGCTTAAGCTGCTACATAGGGTCAAAGTATAGTGTCAAAGTATAGTTTTGCTGTATGCATATACATGACTGTATGACCAATGTGATTCTGCAACCTGTACACTCAGAAAAATGAGAAATTATACCCCATTTGATTCAAATGTATGATATGTCAAGGTCATTGTACTGTCATGTGTAATTAATTAAAACAAACAAACAAAAAGTATAGTTTCTAGGTAGGGATAATGAAAGACAACCAGCACAGATCAGGGAGACCTGGCTAAGGTAGGTCTATAGAGTTTTCTTTTTTGGTGACCTCAGGGTGCTAGGTTGAAACCAAGCCAAGACACTGTGGTAACTCTGGAATCCATGGGGGGTTAGAAATAGCCAGGGGGGTAGAAATATTACAGAGCCAGGGAAGAGGTCACAACACATGGTAAGCTTCTGAGGTTTAGGAGGGGTGCTACATGCCCTGGGAAAGAACAACAACAACATGGATACAATAAACAAAAAGATCTGTATTAGAACATTTACACTCAGGGAACAAAGAGGTATCTGCATCATCAAATGTGGAATGTTGAAGAAATAGTTAAAATAAATAAAGACTCCCGAGTGCAGCTGGAGCGGGCTCGGGTTGGGGCTCAGAGAGGCCACTGCACATCAGCTCCAGGCTGCAGGGACCCCTACCTGGCCATACTGGCCTCCTCCCTGACGCAGCACAGCTGTGTCTGGGACACAGAGTCTCTCTCAAGTACTGGAGCAACCAGCAAGTTCACTCTCCACTCTCCTCACTTATCTCTGTGACAATGTCTATCAGGCTCTGGAGCCCAAAGATATAGCCAGCATCCTGGCCCTCATGCACCACACTGTCCTCGCCATACAGCCTGCAAGTGGTGTGAGCAAAGTCGATCATGCGCACATCCACTGAGCTGGCACCAATGGGCTTGTAGGCATAGGCACCAGCAGACTCATCAGCTGACTCCTCTGACAGGTCCTCCAAGTCCTCCTCATCCGAGTCCAGGGCCACTTCAGGCCACTCTTTGCCATCATAGATAACCAACAGGGAGCTTGAGTAGAAGCGGTAGGATTCCTGTCTTTCCAACACTGCCTTGAGCTCAGCCAGCTTCTTGAGCACAGGGCCCAGGAGCTCTCGACGCAGGTACCGACCATTGTGGAAGAACTGGAAAAGTGCTTCCTTGAAGCCCTGCACTGATAGTTTCCGCCCATGGTACTTGTTCATGAACATAAGCTGCCCAGTGCCTGCCTGGTATACCTGTGGGGAGATCAGCAAGTCAGTGGATGAGGCTTGGACACTGGGGTGGGGGAAGGTGATGGTGATGTGACATCTGGGATCTGCTCCTATTTTTTCTTTTGTAGTACTGGGGATTGAACCCAGGACTCCATGAATACTAGGCAAGCACTATTCCACTATACATTCCTCGCTCTTTGTAAAATTTTGAGACAGGGTCTCACTAAGTTGAGGCTGGCTCAAACTTGGAATTCTCCTGCCTCAGTCTCCTGAATAGCTGGGATCAAATCGTGTACCACTGCACCAGGCTCTGGATCTGACTGTTTGTTAATAAGCACACCAAGTCACACATGAGCTGCTGTCTTCTCTGATCAGCATCAACCTGCAATGCAGCCATCTGACCTGGGTTAAATTATTGTACATCTGGGTCAGTGGAGACAGACTAATCCTCTTGTCTTTTTCTCTACTTCTGTCTATAGGTTCTGGACTCAGCCTACCAGGACAGTCTCAGAGAAATTACCCAGACATAAAATACATGCTTTCTTTTCTTTCTTTCTTTCTTTTAACCAGAAAGCATCAAATTCATATAGGGTCATTCTGAAATCTTTAGAATAAAACTACACCACAGTGGGGAAGCAGCAGCTACTGGATTCCCTAGCTAGCCCTTGTCTTGCACCAGCACACTACTCACCTGCATGCCACACACACGCACACCAATGACTGCAGATGTGCTCTGCTGACATTTTCGGATCTGGTTAGCTGCTTTCTCCTCTGAAGCATCATCACCATGCTGGCGTGTGCCCATCTTAAGGTCCAAGACACAAGGCACCTCATAGCGGGAAGTCAGGTTCTCCAGTAATATAAATTCTAAGTGGTTAAGAACTACATCCCCAAGAGAAAGTGCTACACATGATACCTTGGCACAGGGAATTGTGTGTGAATGCAGTGACCCAGAGAAGCCTAACCCCACAGGGGGCTCCATTAATTGTGCTGTCTCCTATATAGAGTGCCCACAGCTAACTAAAGAGCTAAGAGGAACTTCTTGTTAGGGAACTGGCATGAGAGCAGCTAGTGTCTAGACTTGATACAGGCCTGAGGTGCTCCAGCCTTAGGAGACAAGATTTCCTGAATTCAGCTATGTGTAGGATCAGAGTACAATAGCATACTGTCCTCAATTATACATAGAATGAGCTCAGTAAATCCTGCAGCCTTAGATATAAATTGTAAACTTCAATACAAATTCATAAAAAATATTTGTCTTGAAAAAACTGTTTCCCAAGCTGTGTGCATGGAAAATGTCTAGAAATAATGACCAGAAATAATAAATACCCCTAGTATGGTCTATTTCCCATTAATAGAAACCAGTGGTCCTTAGAGTAGGAATGGTAAACTACAGTCCACTGCACATTGTTGTACAATCTATGAGCTAGTAGTGGTTTTTACATTTTTAAGAGATCAAAATAAATATAATACTTTATGATCCATGAAAATTGATATTCAACTGGAGTGACAATAAGTATTTACTGGAACACAACTACACTAGTTTATTTAAATATATAGTGGCACATATGTATGTGCCACAACACCTAAAGATTTATTTGGCCCTTTACTGAAAAGATTCACTGACCCCTGCCTTAGGGGAATGGTTTGAGTTCACATCTGGAGCAGGAAATATACATGGTCATTTCCTAGACCCTTTTTCATACTAGAAAGCAAGATAACTATCATAGATTACCACCACTGTGTCAAACTTGGTAAAGGTAACAACTTCAATGGATTAAAACACAAATATATAAACCATACCTCAAGCATATAGTTGATGAGGAAAAATTTTGTTTTATAGGAAGTTTCCAGCTTGTGAATAACAAAATTAGAAAACTACCTAATGAAAAATTAGATCTAAGGCAAAGAGAAAGACTCTGCTTCCCAATGGACATGTACAATATAATTTCTTGGGGATTACTGCTCCCATTCCCACAAACTGAAACCAAATCAGTTCTTTAGATCTTTAAATCAAGCCTTTAGATCCAATCATCACCTACTGAAGACATCATATATGAATATATGACCAATGTAACTACACATCACATACAACCACAAAAATGGGAAGTAGAGCTGGCATTTGTAGCTCAGTGGTTGAGAACTTTCCTTGTGTGCGTGAGGCACTGGGTTCTATCTTCAGCACCATGTAAGAATAAATAAATAAAATAAAGCTAAAAAAATGGGAAGTAATACTCCATGTATGTATGAAAAATACTGTCATGTATAACTAAAAAGAACAAAAAAAGTTAAAAAATTAAAAATTAAAAAAAACAGTGGAAGGGGCTGGGGTTGTGGCTTAGTGGTAGAGCACATGCCTTGCATCTTGTGAAGCACTGGTTACCATTACATTAAAAATAAAAAATTACAAAAAAAAAAAAAAACAGTGGAAACAGAGGGGACACAGTAAACATGTAGGAATACAATCAGTAAAACCCAGATCATAGAAAACTCTAAAAGAGGTTTTTTTTTTTGTTTTTTTTTTTGTAATAGGGATTGAATGCAGGGGCACTTAACCACTTAGCCACATCCCCAGCCCTTTTTTATATTTTATTAGAGACAGGGTCTCACTGAATTGCTTTAGGCTTCGCTAAGTTGCTGAGGCTGGCTTTGAACTTGTGATCCTCCTGCCTCAGCCTCCTGAGTTGCTGGGATTACAGATGTGCACCACCACAGCTGGTAAGACATCATTTCTTTCTCTTTTTTTAAATATATTTTTTAGTTGTAGATGGACACAATACCTTTATTTATTTATTTATTTTTATGTGGCGCCAAGGATTAAACCAGTGCCTCACATGTGCTAGGCAAGTGCTCTACCACTGAACCACAACCCCATCCTAGACCCAGTTTCTTTGATAAGAAATTTAAAAAAAAAAAGGCAGCAGGGCATGGTGGCACATGACTATAACTCCAGCCACTCCAAAGTTAAGAGGCCAACCTGGGCAATTAGTGAGACATAACCTCAAAAAAAAAAAGGCTAGTGAGGCTGAGGTTGTAGCTCAGTGGTAGAGTGCTTGCCTAGCATGGAAGGCACTGAGTTTGACCCTTAGCACCACATAATAAAAGGTATTATATCCATCTACAACAACAAAAAGTCTAGACATACAGCTCAGGGGTACAGTGATCCTGTGTTGCACAGAAAGGAAGGAAGGAATTATTTAATTAATTTCTAAGGAAAAATGAGAGTGGTATTTAAAGACTTAAACATTTCGATCCAATGCAACTTACGTGAATTCCTATTCTAACAAATAATAAAAACATACTCTCTGAGACAATTAGAAAAATGTGAACATGAATTAGGTAGTTTATAGTTAGGAATTACCAATTTTTAAGAAATAAAAATGCGGGGGTGCTGGGGTTGTGGCTCAGTGGTAGAAGTGCTTGCCTAGCATGCAACAAGGCACTGGGTTCAATCCTCAGCACCACATAAATGTAAAATAAAGATATTGTGTCCACCTAAAACTTAAGAATGAAAAAAGAAAAGAAATGAAAATAGTGTTCAACTGTTAAAATAGTCTCATCTTTTAGAGATACACGTTAAGTTACACACAGATGAAATTATATAGCTCAGATTTGCTTTGAAAAGAGTATAGGTGGAAAAAATCTTCTGTTTAAAAACCAGGGGCTGGGTCTGAGGCTCGGTGGTAGAGCATTTGCCTGGCATGTGTGAGGCACTGGGTTCAATCCTCAGTACCACATAAAAACAAATAGACAAAACAAAGGTATTGTGTTCATCTACAACTAAAAAAAAAAAAAGTTCAGTGGTAAAGAGTATTTGCCTAGCATGCATAAAGCCCTGGGTTTCATCCATCCCCCAGCACAACCAAAAAGTCCAGGTATGAAGGGTAGTGGGTAAATAGAGAAAGTCATGACACAAGACTGACATAAGTGGGTTAACTGCCAAACCTGGGTGGAGAAATACTCTGTCAATGCATTATTCTAACATATTTTCCTTAATAAAAGTTAAAAATATATAAAACAACCTCAGTTCTGAAGATTTTCAACCCATAAGGTTAAAAAAAAAGAAGGATCCTGGCATAGCTCATATGCCAGACTGGTGAACCAGAACTGAAAGGTTAGTTTTCTCTTAACTTAGTCCCTTTAGTTCAAGACGATTTGGGAATCTTCTGCAGGAATTTGCAAACAGGGATAAGCTCTGTGCCATCTTCCCTAGGCTATCTAAAGTACACCTGATGTAAGGTGGCCCCTTCACGAGATATCCCTCATTCCCAGAAACCCCTTATCCCCCATTCCCTACCACCTACACTCAGAGGCCAGTCCCTAGCCCTAAGAGAAGCAATACCTATCCATGAGCATCACAGAAGTTTTCTGGCACAACCCCAATAGAGGAAATTCAATTAAGACTTAATAGACCCAACCACTCTCTTCAAGCCCTCCACACTTTCCCTCCTCTCCCCAACAAGGTAGGGATGTCCCATGAACAAAGGATACTGTACTGGTTCCGATGCTTTGCATTCTCCTTCATTCTCTGTAACTGTTGCTGGTGACATTTCATGCTCCAAGGATTATAGTGTTTGAGCTGGGAACTTATACTCCCCTTTTTTTCTACACTGTAGTATAAGACTTCAGATTTCTTTAGCCATTCAAATTCTTCTTCTAACTTATGGCTATGAAGATATAAGATTCCAATAAGTCATAATGTCAAAAAATTCAGTGTCAAAGATGCATGAGGGAGCTTTCTGGAGTAATGAAATTTAGATATTTTGATATGGTGATGGTTACAAACTCATTAAACACTTTATTTTTTTTTATTTTTATTTTTTTTGAGAGAGAGAGAGAGAGAGAGAGAATTTTAATATTTATTTTTTTTTAGTTTTCGGCAGACACAACATCTTTGTTTGTATGTGGTGCTGAGGATCGAACCCGGGCTGCACGCATGCTAGGCGAGCGCGCTACCGCTTGAGCCACATCCCCAGCCCCATCATTAAACACTTTAAATGGGTACATTTTATCATTGTACCTCATTATCATGAGGTCTATTTTATCTCATTAAAGTTAATTAAGGGGCCATGCCATCACTATTTTCTACAACAAGGGAAACCTAAGAAGCAAGATCAGCCTCTGCCTCCCAACTTCCAAGTCAGGCAGCTTCTATTCCCCTATTCTAGGCAATACCCTCAAACCCACATGTGGTACACAGGTTCATCTGACTTCCCATCTGGAGACTGGGAAAATCTTAGGTGAAATCCCATATAAATAAGTTAATCTACTTGGCCACATTATTTATATATATATATATATATTTTTTTTTGGTACCAGGGATTGAACTCAGGGGCACTCAACCACTGAGCCATATCCCCAGCCCTATTTTGTATTTTATTTAGAGACAGGGACTCACTGAGTGAGTTGCTTAGTGCCTCGCCATTTTTGAGACTGGCTTTGAACTCGTGATCCAGCCTTCCGAGCCCCTGGGATTACAGGCATGTACCACCACGTCTGGCCATATTTGATATTTTAACAAGCTTTGCTAATGTATGGTACTTGAAAACTCTGCCCAAACAGATCCTTGAGTTTCACAAATGTCCCCCATAATTAGTAAGCAACCTGAAGTAAAGGGGTAGGTAACTCCTGTCACATCTACAGGACCCAGGCTATAGCCTGGCACAGAGCAGCAGTTGAAGGAATGTACACTAAATCTCTTTTTACAGCTACTGCTTCAGCTGTTAACCAAAAATGGCATGCCCTAACCCAGAAGTTAATTAAAGAGATGCTGGGCATGCCATGTGGGAACTAACCATTGAAAGACAAGGCACCTATAAGCCCACCATGAATTTTCACCTCCAGGGAACTCAGTCAGCTATAACTAAGAACCCCAACACTGACCTTCCCACAGAGCCCAAGGATTCCCCTATTAGTGTACCTACCTCTTCATCTTCTCCTCTTTCCGGTGCTGGCGCACCCAGTCCTTGGGGGTCTTTTCCGTTTCTAGCATGTGATGTTTTTTGTTTGTCCACCTTAGAAGCTTACTTTTTGGTTCACAGTCTGAATTGTCTACAAAGTCCACAGTTCCGTGGTCCCCTTTTAATGGATACGCTATTAAACACAAGTTCCTGTCTTCATCTTCTTCAAAGCGCACAGATACCACACCTGGAAATGGGGCGAGGAGCAGAAGGAGCTTTAATTCCACAGAAAGATGCTTTCTAAATAACATGATTGTAACATTTGTTGTTTTTCTTACCCTGTTCCTTAGTCTCTATGTTGCCAGAGGCCCCAAACTCATCTGCAAACCTAACAAATATCAAAACAGCTAGAAAAAAATGACACCATACAAGACAAGCGATTAGGGAGCAAACATGGCTGAGAGTCTTCCTCTCTAATGCACTCAACAAGGCAAGAGCCAAAGAATTACAAGACACATTTTTCCATCATTGAAAATGTTTTATTAATTTTTGTGTAACTCTTCTAATACTAAGAGAGATGCAAAAACATTGCTCTTTATATCTTGTGGAAATTTTTAATGCCCTGAACAGAAACTCCGACCGCCTGGAAGCTTGCTTTAAGGCAGAACCTGAACGCAAGGAAACACAAGTTTGTCACAGGGTAAGAGGCATCTAAAAGTAAGGAAGACTGGGTAAGCAAAGCAAAATAAAGGGGCAAACAAAACAAACCACACAGCACAACAGACACCCTAGCAAAGGCTTACTGTAGCACCCCCACTTAGGTAGGTGCTTCAAGCCTTTTGTCCTTCTCAAATATGCTTTTTATTAGTCTTTGCAGTTTCTTGTCACAAAAATAAATAAATAAGTAAATAATCAAATACAAGATAGATAGGGTTGGACCAGGAGGACAGACACATTGTGGCCTTGAAAGCAGCTCTCCACCCTTGAGTCTCTAGAACCTGCCATGTGTAATTAGACAGTCTTTGAGGAGGGAGCTGTCAGTAGGAGCATTTCAGCAGGTGCCGATGAGTGCCTTACAACCGACTGGCTGAACACCTTTCCTCCCAGGCCTCTCTGCCCCAGGATCACTCAATCTGCTCAGTCCTTGCTGCCCGCCCGCTTGCTTGCTGCAGGGGAATGCGTGCTGAGAGAGATGACACTTCTGAGGTAGCCCCCAGCTCTAGGTGCAGAGGAGCCAAGGTGGGGATTTCAGGGGACCACACTTCCCTGTGGCCATGGGGAAAAGGACCAGAGGAAAAAAGGGGGCAAGGGTGGCCAGCTAACAAGGGAACTCTGGCTTTGTCCTGGAAAAAACAAGAGAAGGACCAAGTGAGGGCCCACAACTCCCCCCCCCCCCACCCTAACACACATGCATTTCAGAGTACAGAGAGGTGCCCAGAACATTCTGTTTTTTAAAAAAATAATATTAAACAGTCCCAGAAGAACCTAAGTTGTTCTGGTCTTTTATATATCCGGTAATACCCACTTAAAATTAATTTCTTTAATATGTTCTCCTTTGATTTACAAAAGTTCCCCCCAGACCACACCATGCTGGTGGCTGCTTATGTCCCCCCAAAGAATCATTATAAAAGGAAGAAAAAGCTACAATATGTGAATCAACCATTTGCCTTCATGTAGCAATTTTGGGGATTTCCATAATTGCAAAGGGCTTCAGCTAATCAGCACAGTCCTCCCACTCCTGCATTCCATCTGACTCAACCCTGCTCCCAGCCTACCTAATCACCAGGGCTTCTGGTTTCCTGGAGGACAAAAAGCAGGCGGCAAGAATTCTGGGTAAAATCCTCCCAAAGTCTTCCCCCACTGTCCCCACCATGGGGGACTATGGGTTACTGTGATCAAGAGACACCTGAACATAAAACACAACTAAACTTCCACCAAAAATAAACTCAAAACAAATCCACAAAACAAAGCACAATTGAGCAATCTTACCAGGGCTTGAAAACTGAGGGTGTGAGGTGCTGGGCTGAGGGCCAGGAGGAGGGAAAACACAAAGTGAGTGGGAGGGGGTGAGGGTTCCCAGGATGGCTGCCAGGGCCTTCCATGGCCGTGATTCCTCACATCTCCTCACCAGCCTGGCGACCCCTCCGGCAGTTGGGGGCTCACCTTTGTACTGGGGAGTGAATCTGCGCATCTCAGCTGGGAGGGTCTCGTAGAACTGATGCTCCCTCGGGACCAGGGGCTTGCACAGGGTCGTCTCATTGAAGCGTAGAACACAAGAGTGCCCCCCAACCTGGTGGACAAAGGGCTCCAGCAGGACGCCCTTGGTGCGGGGCTCCACGTCCATGGCCCTGAAGGCTGGGCTCATCCTCCGGACGCAGACGGCAGGGAAAACGGGGAGGCAGCAGGGTCTACGGCCAGCTCGTCCTCCGTCGCTTGTCTTGCCTGATCCTCCTTCTGTTTGGTCTCCGCTCCTAGGTTTGTGTAGGCCAGAATGCTCTGCCGGAAGCAAGCACATTGATTTGTGGGAACCGCCTTAGGTTCCAATTCTCCAGCAGAAAGGCAAACAGTACAAGCTCACTTAAGGTTCCGCCCACGCTGCCCACCCCAGCCCCGCCTCTTCCCTCAGAAAGATAAAAACACCCTGAGCTGAGGGAGGAGAGGGAAGGAGAACAAGGCAAATGAGAACACGCAGAAACTGTGCTCCAACAGGGACACTACAGCATTACAAAGTCACCTTAACAGACAAAACACAAAGCCATGAAAAGGTAAAGATCAAAGATCACAATTTCAAACATTATATTCAAATTAAATCTTACCATTGTCTAATATGATAGACAAACTTAAGGTGAAAGGTGCTCAAATTTATCCATTTAATGCAATTTCTACAGGGAAAACCAACTTATCCATCATCTCGGACTTATCCGCCCAAGGTATCCACACATACTGCCCCAGTCCAAGGCCAAAGACAAGCTCCATTAACCTTATTAGCAGTGGAGCTTGGGACCAGCTTTAATGATTAACGTCTGTATTTAAAAACAACCGATCAAGGCTGGTTAACTTCATTTAAAAAGATACACAGTGTTCTAGGTCAACCAACTATTTTTATCAGTTCTATCCTGATCACTAAAAGCTGGGGCACACCTTTAAGCCAAAGTTGTGCTCCTGGGGCAGTCAGGGCTCTTATCCACCATAAGTCTAGGACCTTAGTTCTGATTATGCATCCAGACGCCACAACTGGATCTCAGCAAAGCACACCTTTTTACACATCCTATTAACTGATTCAAGGCATGTCAGGCTAGGTATGTTTTCTGGCTATAATTTATAGACAATGTAGTTTCTACTAGCATTCCTTACAGGGCTTAAACCACTGTATGTATATGTACAGGGATCTTACTGGGAACTTGTGCAGTTCCCATGACTCCATCTGCGACAGTGAGAGTGAGGAAGGGTTTGCTGAGTAAAAAGCTCATTACAGAACTTCTTACTTGGTCCTCTGGATACTTTTAATGAGGTAGACACTACTCTCCCTACTGCAGGCAATGAAGCCAATTTGAGGAAGTAGAAAAAACACCCACAATAACAGTTCCCAAATGAAACTTAAAATCCTAGACTGGAGGATGCCTTAATTTTGCTGCATATATGGGACATTTAGTTTGTCCTATAAAAGTGCTTTCAGGTGATAATGGCCTGATTATATTCCACCATTATGTACAACTATAATGCATCAATAAAAAAAGTGTTTTCACCAAAATTTATATCTTCTGTAATAGCCTCTTTTAAAGAATTTAATTTGGTGGGTTTTTTTAAATATTTATTTTTTAGTTGTAGTTGTCAATACCTTTATTTTTTTTTATGTGGTTCTGAGGATTGAACCCAGGGCTTCACACGCAGTAGGCAAGTGCTCTACCGATGAGCCACAACCCCAGCCCTGTGATAATCTTTTCCTTTCAGAAAAGCCCACTGTTGACCCAGCTGGATTCAAGGATTTGAAGCTTTATTATATGCAAAGAACACAGACCTCAAAGACCCTGATTTCTCACCTGATGCTACCTTCTCATTATCACAGAAGCCCTCTCAGAAAGGCAGGTACTGAGAAGAAGAGTTCCCAAACCACACAGGCAAAGTGACTATAAGGATGAATACTCTAGTCATTTCAGACTCTCTCCAGAAGATAGAGCTGAGGTGCCTAGTTACACAAGCCCTTTTACTTAGCAACTTAGCAAGAAGCAGTCTCAAAAATTTTTTTAAAAAAGAACTGGAGCTGTAGTGCACACCTGTAATTCCCAGTGGCTTCGGAGAGTAAGGCAAGAGGATCAAGAGTTCAAAGCCAGCTTCAGCAACTTAGTGAGGTCCTAAGCAACTTAACCAGACCCTGTCTCAAGGAAAATTGTCAAAATGACCATATTACCAAAAGTACTATACAGATTTAATGCAATTCCAATCAAAATACCAATGACATTCTTCACAGAAATAGAAAAAGCAACCATGAAATTCATTTGGAAAAATAAGAGACCCAGAATAGTCAAAGCAATCCTTAGCAAGAAGAGTAAAGCGGGAGACATCACAATACCAGACCTTAAACTATACTACAGAGCTATAGCAACAAAAATGGCATGGTATTGGCACCAAAATAGACATGTAGACCAATGGTACAGAATAGAGGACACAGAGACAAATCCACATAAATATAGCTATTTCATACTAGACAAAGGTGCCAAAAACATACATTGGAGAAAAAAATAACTTCTTCAACAAATGATCCTGGGAGAACTGGAAATCCTTATGCAGCAAAATGAAATTAAACCTCTCTATCTCACCCTGCACAAAACTTAACATGGATCAAGGACCTAGGAATTAGACCAGAGACTCTGCACCTAATAGAAGAAAAAGCAGGCCCAAATCTTCTTCATGTTGGCTTAGGACCTGACTTCCTTTACAAGAAATAAAATCAACAATCAATAAATGGGATGGATTCAAATTAAAAAGCTTCTCTGCAGCAAAGGGAACAATCAATAACGTGAAGAGAGAGCCAACAGAATGGGAGAAAAACTATCGCATGCACATCAGATAGAGCAACCCAATCAATAAATGGGCTAAGGAAATGAGCAAACACTTCACAGAAGAAGATATACAGAAGATATACAATGAATCAACAAATATATTTAAAAAATGTTCAACAGCTCTAGCAATTAGAGAAATGCAAAACAAAACTAAGATTTCATCTCACTCTAGTCAGAATGGCAATTATCAAGAATTCAAGCAACAAGTACTGGCAAGGATGTGTGGGGAATGGTACACTGATTTTATTGCTGATGGGACTGCAAAATGGTACAATCACTTTGGAAAGCAGTATGGAGATTCCTTAATAAACTTGGAATGGAACCATCATTTGACCCAGTTATCCCACTCCTCGGTCTATACCCAAAGGACTTAAAATTAGCATACTAAAGTGATGCAGCCACCTCAATGTTTACAGCAGTTCAATAGCTAAATTGAGGAACCAATCCAGAAGACCTTCAATAGATGAATGGATAAACACACTGTGGTATATATACACAATGGAATATTAGCCTTAAAGAAGAATGAAATTAGCGGTTGGGGTTGTGGCTCAGCAGTAGAGCACTTGCCTCGCACGTGCGATGCCCTGGGTTCAATCCTCAGCATGACATTAAAAAAATAAATAAATATATTGTGTTCAACTACAATTAAAAGTAGAAGAAGAATGAAATTACAGAATTTGTAGGTAAATGAATGGAGTTGGAGAATATCATGCTAAGTGAAGTAGGCCAATCTCAAAAATCCAATGGCCAAATGTTTCCCCTGATAAGTGGATGCTGATCCATGGGAGGGGGGAGGGGGGGAGGGGGGGAGACAGGGAAGAATGGAGCAACTTTAGACTGGGCAGAGGCAGGAAGATGGTGGAATGAATCAGACATTATTACCCTATGTACGGGTATGACAGCATGAATGGTGTGACTCTACATCATGTACAACCAGAGAAACGGCAAGTTGTGCTCCATTTGTGTAAAAACAATAAAAGTGGGGGGCCCTCGGGATGTGGCTCATTGGTAAAGAGCCCTGGTTTCAATCCCCAGTACTAATAAACAAACAAACAGGGCCGATTTTACTTCCCCAACATCAAATCTGCTCCAAATTATAGTTCTATACAGACTGGTACATACTAGGTTTTATTTTGAGACAAGGTCTTTCTAAATTACACAGGCTGGCCTAAAGCTTGCAATCGTCCTGCCTCAGTCTCCTGAATAGCTGGGATTACAGGTATGTGCCACCACACCCAGCTGTCCTATTTTATTTAAAACCAAAAACCAAAAAGCTCCCATTGAAAGAGTAGGTTATGATGGCACATGCCTGTAATTCCAGCTGCTGTGGCAGCTGAGGCAGGAGAATCACTATTCAAGCTCAACTTGAACAACTTAGTGAGACAGTCTCAAGATTAAAAAAAAAAAAAAGTTAACTCCAGCGTAGTAGAGCATTTGCCTCACATGGTAGCAGAAGCAAGATGATGAAGAGAACACTATCATTTGGATAGCATCATGATCATCATGATAAGACACACACATTTAGCCATTATTGTAGCTCTAAGGCCTGTCACCATCAGAAGTTGACCTGTAGCAGATGTGGTTACCCTGCCAAGGGCAAGAGAAAGTATAACTGGAGCACCAAGGCAAAATACCACCAGGACTGGTCAAATAAGGCACCTAAAATTTGTAATAACACAGATTCAGGGAGGGATTCCATGAAGAAACTCCTAAACCAAGAGGGCAGCATCCAGTTCATCTTGAGAGTTTCAACAATTAGCCACCCAATAAAAATTCTGGCTTAAAAAAAAAAAAAAAAAAAGGGGCTGGTGTTGTGGCTCAACAGTAGAGCGCTCACCTCATGTGCGAGACCCTGGGTTTGATTCTCAGCACCACATAAAAATAAATAAGTGAAATAAAGGTATTGTGTCCTACTACAACTAAAAACTAAAAATATAATAATAAATAAAATAGCCAGGTGTGGTGGTGCATGCCTGTAATCCCAGCAATTTAGGAGATTTGAGGCAGGAGGATCACAAGGTTTGAGGCCAGCCTCAGCAACTTAGCAAGCTGATATCTGAAAATTAAAAATAAAAATGGCTGGAGATGTGACTCAGTGGTTAAGCACTACTGTGTTACATACATAAATAAAAACAGAATCTATAGGCAGAATTAATATCATTAAAATGGCCATATTACCAAAAGTACTCTATAGGTTTAATGAAATGCCAATCAAAGTCCCAACAGCATTCCTCGCAGAAATAGAAAAAGCAATCATGAAATTCATCTGGAAAAATAAAAGACCCAGAATAGCTAAAGCAATTCTAAGCAGGAAGAGTGAAACAGGTGGTATAGCGATACCAGATTTTAAACTATATTACAGAGCAATAGTAACAAAAACAGCATGGTACTGGTACCAAAACAGGCGGGTAGACCAATGGTACAGAATAGAGGACACAGAGACCAATCCACAAAATTACAACTACCTTATATTAGACAAAGCACGCAATGGAGAAAGGATAGCATCTTTAACAAATGGTGCTGGGAGAACTGGAAATCCATATGCAACAAAATGAAATTAAATCCCTTTCTCTCACCATGCACAAAAGTTAACTCAAAATGGATCAAGGAGCTAGGAATCAAACCAGAGACTCTGCATCTAATAGAAGAAAAAGTTGGCTCTAATCTCCATCTCGTGGGGTTGGGCTCCAAATTCCTTAATAGGACACCTATAGCACAAGAGTTAAAATCAAGAATCAACAAATGGGACGTATTCAAACTAAAAAGTTTTTTCTCAGCAAAAGAAATAATAAGTGAGGTAAATAGGGACCTACACCCTGGAAACAAATTTTTATCCCTCACACTTCAGATAGAGCTCTAATCTCCAGAGTATACAAAGAACTCAAAAAATTAAACAAGAAAACCAATAACCCAATCAACAAACGGGCCAAGGATCTGAACAGACACTTCTCAGAGGAGGATATACAATCAATCAACAAATACACGAAAAACTGCTCACCATCTCTAGCAATCAGAGAAATGCAAATTAAAACTACTCTAAGATACCATCTCACTCCAGTAAAAATGGCAGCCATTATGAAGTCAAACAATAACAAGTGCTGGCGAGGATGTGGGGAAAAAGGTACACTTGTACATTGCTGGTGGGACTGCAAATAGGTGAAGCCAATTTGGAAAGCAGTATGGAGATTCCTTGGAAAGCTGGGAATGGAATCACCATTTGACCCAGCTATTCCCCTTCTCAGACTATACCCAAAAGACCTAAAAAGAGCATACTACAAGGACACAGCTACATCAATGTTCATAGCAGCACAATTCACAATAGCTAGACTGTGGAACCAACCTAGATGCTCTTCAATAGATAAATGGATAAAAAAAAAGTGGCATTTATACACAATGGAATATTACTCAGCACTAAAAAATATCAAAATCATGGCATTTGCAGGG